CATCGCCTCCACGTGCCCCTCTGACACCTCACCCCGAGACCCGTCTAAAGAAAACTGGACCCCGCGTGCGAGTCGCCAGGCGATTAATCTGGGTGCAAAAACGAACAGTGCGGTTAGAATCAAGAACCACGAGAGGGGTGAAGGCCGACCCCTACACCCCGGTCTGTAACCGACACGTCAGCAATTACCAACCCCGATTTCGCTCGCCTTTATTCTTCCCTCTCCGCTTTAAAAAAGGATAGCAGGCGCCGCTCGTCAGTCCGTACCGCTGAAAGCTGCGGTAGGGCTTACGTCACCTGCCCTCCCCCAACTTTTCGAAATAAAATGGATTAAAAAAGCAAAGGAAAAAGAGGGCAAAAGTGGTGTGGTCTTACATGTGAACCCCCCTGCGACACGTCAAATCAGGCGGCCGGCTGCTGTTCCGCTCCTCTCCTGTGCTCCCCGCTTCACAAGCATCACATAAGAGAGAGGAGCAGAGACGAGATAGAGAGAAGACGAGAGAGACGTCAGCTGCTTTTTATTTAAGCTTCAGCATCCTCACTTGAGTTTTTGATCTCATGGCGTCCAAAGGAGGAGGAGGAGAAGGGTCACTACGGGCGCGGTGTGAGAAAGGCGGCCGTGGGGTCGATAGCGGCGCGGAGATCCATGGATCCCTGGAAGAAAACTAAGGGTTTGGCTCGGCACGCTTCGACACGCCGGAGGAGGCGGCGCTCGCCTACGATCAGGCGGCAGCGATCTCTCCGCGGGGACGAAGGCCAAGACCAAATTTCCCGCCCCATCTGTGCGTGAATCCGCCGCCGCCTCCGCCGCCCGCCGCCGATAGTCGATGCCGGTGTCTTGGATCTCAACCTGCAGCCTTGCCAGTTCAGCTGGCTCGTTGGCCCCATGCCGCCTTCTATGACTCCGCCGCCGCCGGCGATGGATGCTCCGCAGTCGACGAATCTTGTTCTTTGGAGGGTGCTTTCAGCGGAGATAAAATCGTGGGCTCGAGGAAGGAGGCCGAGAGTGTCGGTGGGAAGGGACTGCCGTTCGATCTCAATGAGCCACCGCCGGCGTCGTCGATGCTGTTTTAATTTGTTTTTTTTTTCTTTTTTTCCCTTTTAGAACTTAGTGCGGCTACTGTATATAGTTAATTTTGTTGTTTTTTACTCTGGCTTTTTTGGTTTCTAGTTTAGAAATGAAGAGGGAAGTGGAGTTCAGTTTTTGGAGTAAAAACTTTGGTGGTACTGGTGGGGTAGCTATTTTAGTGATGAATTAAAAGGTTCTTCTTCGTTTAGAAATTGATCTCATTACATGGACTTGTTTGGTTTTTGGCAACATATCACTATTTTTTTGCTGTGAATGGAGAAGTCATGCAGGGTTCACTGCTAATATGATTAGAAATATTTTTGTACTAATGAGGTTATTTGGACGTGAACCGTGTAAAATCAAACACTACATTTTTTTTTATTTATAAAAAAGCACTATGTTTCCTTGGACTCCAACCGTACTGTGGAACAGTTTACCTACCTCTTATAGTCTCATGTAGTATAATCTTTCATAACGGAGAAGTACTTTTATTATTAAGTTAATGACTTCATTAATTTTATTTGGAACACATATAGTAAATTTTTTCAAGTAAAAAAATAGTATGGATGAATACCATGCACGAAGATAAGATATACATAACTTTTTATAATAACTACCGACCGGTGCCCATTAGATGTATGTGTAAGATATAACTTACAAGGTGGTAAAAGCAAAAAAAAGAAGAAGAAGAAGAAGAATAAGAAGAAGAAGAATCATCATCTAGTTTATTTGAGATTGGTCTCGAACGTTATTAAAAAAAGACACAAAATTGTTGTCCGAAAACTTCACTGCACTATGAAACAGTTAATCGATAAATAATATATATATATACGTCATGAATCGTAGCCTATAGAAGGGCTAGAGGAGAAAATATAGAAAGTAAACAGGCTAACCATGATTGTTTTTTATTCACATGTTGTCAACGCATGCAATCTTTCCCTAAATTTATGGCCTCAATCATGTAACCCGCTTTTGAACACTCGGTTGTCTCTACTGAGAACTGAAATAAGGCCACACTAGAGCTTCAACTTTCAACCTTTGCATGCATTTCAAAGATGTTTTATCTAGTATTAATTAATTTGTACTATTCCTAAATCCTAATCTATCTATATATCTACCCCATAAAAAAAAACCAACTAAAATTAAAGTAGTGTAGAACTGGATGAGTGATGGACCAGTCCTCCTCCTCAATTGTAATTAAAAGCTCAAAAATATAATTTTAACTAATTGGTGTTTTCTCTCTTCTTTTATTTTTTTACTTCTAGAATATTCTATATCATTCAATATCATAAGTAAAAAGAGCCCACACAATTGAATGTTTTCTTTATATTTTATATTAGAGAAAATTAAAGCTCCACGCGTATATCTCTACCACAATCTCTACCGCAATTAATCTATACTAATACATAAAGATAATCTATGAAGATTTTAGGTTCAAACGGACATTGCCTGACCGTTATTCCATCTACCTCTCTATTAAATAAACTCTCAATAAAAAGATAGAATTATCTTCATATATATTTGTTACTGCTAAAGTAAAAATGATTTCATATGCACGTATCAAAATTCTTGTTAATAGTATTGATACTTGATTCGATATTAAGAATACATATATACAACAATTAATACTCTCACTGCCAGAATGACCAGAGATGAAAGAGGATGAGATGCTCTCAATGTCCGCTGACGTCTGTGCGCAGCATCTCAAGGTAATAAAAAGTGAGGAAGGTAGTGGGTGGTGTTGTCGAAAAGAGGAGAGAGAATCTGACATTGCTTGCTTGTAGGGTTCAACTGTATTTGTTTCTGGAGGGGGGCAGAAAAATAATTAATTAATAAAATAAAATGAAAATCTTTAGCAGGAGGAGCAGGAGGCAGGGCATGGCCTTGATCTGAAGTCGCAGTGGGCTATCTTTTTTTCTTCACCCGCGTCCCATCATGGTTTTTGGATTTACTGAACTTCAGATCAGCAATTGAGAGCTGATGAGAGAGATGAAGGGATTTTATTTTATTTTTTATTTTTTTTTCACTCTGCTCCTACTTTATTTGTTCTCTTTTTTCGCTACTCCTTTCTTTTTTATAGGATTTCAGTGCATTAAGGAACAATAGGTATAACTATGTAATCATATGGCCTACCTAGTCATCAAGTGGATATTGATGAGTAACTTTATCGATAGATCCTGCGCTTCTTACTTTTTTTTTATTGTACGTTGACCAGGAATTACTCCCACTCAGCAGTAAGATTTGCTTTGATGAAAACTAAATTGCAATCTGCATCTATCTATCGACATTTTGGATGTTTTACGTGCAAATAAAAGTCTGTATCAATCCTTAACTTATCACCATCATTCAAAGAAACGAAAAATTAAAGAATATCTAATTTCTCTATTACGTACCAAACAGGTCTCTGCGTGTTTTAAGAAATACCAAGCATTTTATAGTAGAAAAATTTCAAACATCATATGTCGATATTAT